GCGATCTAAAAATTTCTTCAGCTTGAACAATAATTCATGTCGAATTTCGTGAAGTATCTTATCAAGTAAAATGTTTTCCATATACATTGAAGTTTTAAGTTTGTATGACAGCTATATGCTTCAGTTCCCACAAATGAGGTGCTTCTTGGGATGAAAAGGACGTATGCAAATTTCAAAGCAATATCTCAAAACTTATTTATTTTATAAATTGTTTAACTTTAAAAAAGTAACACTGTCCACAAAGTTTTTTGTAGCACAAACAACTGTTTTTAACAGAGACACAAATTGAAATTATGTCAAGTGGCATCTACTAATTGGCCCTTTATACCTACACACTTCACCACATACGACAATTGTAGTGTATTAGTATGTGTGAGCACTTGCAGATGTGTTTGTGAGTGCACCTGAACAAACGCTTGCCTGGGGTCACTACTTGACTGTGTTTTCCTCTATATGTGATTAGCACCTACCATAATTACAACTACAAAAACAATACTAGTTTTTCTTACACTTCAACGGAAAGTCACGAAGAGCCACACACTGCCACATGATGACAAAAACTACAACGATCCTTGCCAAGCATTGTAAGCATGGCAATTGCGGTCATTCGAAATGAAAGTGAAAGTGAATGGCTGCAAAGAAACGTAAGAGAGTTCGCATACAAAAATATAAAATAAAATAGAAACATATACAGTAAAAATTGTGTAAACAGCAAAGCGTACGTGTCTAGAAGATTTCTAATTACGCACAGCGATTGTGGCACAAACCAATGACCACTTGAGCACATTTCCTGTCACGTCGACGCGAACACAATGACAAATTATGAAACTATATGCATATAAAGGTATTTAAAAGTACCCGCCCGAGGCAACCAAAATGCCGTCAAGTGCTGAAGCAGATGCAGCAAGTGCTACTGAAGACATTTGGGAAGGAAGCGCACGCGCATACACACACAAAGTGTGCAACTGGCAAATCAGGTGAAGCAGTTGTCATTTGTGGCAAGCAAATATGGATACATTTATGTAATTGTGTGTGTGTTTCTTTATACATGTAAATATATGTATATGTATGTATGTGTACTTGTTTTACATTTGTATTGCGGTCGAGTGCGCCGCGCATAGCACTTGAACATCAACGAGCAGCCCGAAAAATGCAGGCCAATTGTTGGTGCGCACACGGCGTATGAGTAACTTTTATTTAGCTTGTTGAATTTCACATTTGAATGTGGCGCCGCCAACTGAACGGAACTGTCTAACTAGCTGACTGACTTACACCTTAAGTGTGTGAGTGATACATGGGCAATCTTAATTGCTAAATACTCGGTGCTAAGGAACAGTTAGAGAAGTACAATAACAACAATAATAACAGCAAGAAACATCACTACAATTAGCTTTATGGACAGTTAATATCTTCAATTTTTCTGTTTTTAATCATTTACTAAATTTTTGTTATTTTTGAAATTTTTTTCAATAAATTTAATAGCTACCAGCATACAATAGACGTAAAAGCAGCTCAACTTGACGTATGCATTGTATGTATGTATGTAAATAAGAGAATATCTTCTATATAAATACTTAGCTTTAAGGAAGTCATAGAAATGCTTAAATAATTGTGTAATAGAAAACTCATTTCATATAACGAGTTAAGCAAAGCATTGGACGTTTAATGCGACATGCGACAAAAAAATTGTATCTTTATTTTTCATCAGAAATTGAGGTTATTCTAGATTTTTCGAAGACAAGAAGTTAAGTTTTTCTGTTTAAAAAAAATAACATTCAAATAATAACAAAAAAATAATTTTTCATACAAGAACTAGAATTTGATCTTTTAGTTTTTATTACAGCTAAAAGCTTTAGTGGTCCAAACTGAAAAATTTGTTCGGGGATTGTACCGTTGCCTATCTCTTCAAATAAATAAAAAAAATTTCATACAAGGATTTGAGTTTGATCGTTGAGATCGTACAGACGGACAAGCAGACGTACATGGCTAAATCAAATCGACTTGTCATGCTAATGAAGTGTAATGCATATAATTTATACTCTTTACGCACGAATATAATTATAGATAGATTTTATTTTATTTTAATTTAATTTATTTTATACATATATTTTTTTTTTTTTTTTATATAATTTTCTTTATTTTATTTTACTCTTTTGTTTAATTTTATTTTACTTTTTTGTTTAGTTATATTATTTTTTCTTATTTTTTGTTATTTTATAACTTATTTTTTGCTATAATTTTTTTTAATTTCCAACTTGTACAAAACTTTTAAATGACTTTAAAAATATCTCAATTCGTAAAAGGAAATATTTTCTATTAGTCTCCGAGGCGCCCACACGTCTGCAAGCAGCACAAATGGCAAACGCTACTTATGCTAACTGCCAACGTTGCTAATAAACGCCTATGCATATACACACACACACCCACATACATGTTTCCACAGCTTTATAGCGAAAGTGCAGAGGGGGACACTTTGAAGAATAGCTTAATGTTTCCACACAAATTCACCAGAAATGATAATAAAGCTCATAAGACCAGGGAAAAAAATTTTTTGAAACATAAAAAATCATAGTAGGATGAAACCCATCGAAAACGAAAGATCATATAACAAATATTAAGGCAAAAGAATTTACAGTCGATCTGTGGTCGGAAGAAGGAAGGGGAGGGACGTGGTTGAATTTTTAAGGGTTAAGAATCGTTTATCTCAATTTGCGGCAAAACTTCGAGTCCTATAGAAACAAGTTATGTGGCAATGTTGTAGGTAATGAAATGGTCTGTAACTTTTGTACATAAAGTTTTTTTAACATAACCACAAAATTTATGTGATAAATTCAAATTTAAAGTTTTTGGGTGTTTTATTTTTATCTTGTACAAAAAATTTGTTTTTTTCATGAAATCTGAAACGTTCTGATACAAATATTTTAAATAGAAAAAATACAGCGTGTGTTGGACCTAAGAAGAATTTTCTACAAGATTAAAATAAATAACGCAAATCTTGGTTATTTGAATTTATCACAGAAATGTTGAGTCTTTGTTAAAAAGCTTTATATAAAAAACCTATAGACCTTCGAGGTCTCGAAATCGAGATATACAGTTTGTAACCCTTATTTTATTTTTTATTATTATTTTTCCTTTAATATTTGCTATTTTATCTTTCGTTTCCGTTGGGTTTCAACCTACTATGAGTTTCCTTATTTTTTTTATATTTTTTTTAAAGGCTTCTGCACTAGTCTACATAAGCATCTGCAACAATCGAAATTTTATAGAAATATAGACAAAAGTGTGCTTATGTGTGTTTATTGTGTGAGTGTGAGTGCGCGTGCGTGCAATTCTTATTTGTCTAGTGTAGCGATTGCGACGACAGGCAAACTAAAGCAGTTAAAGAGCTCATATGTAATATATATTATATATTATATATCTATATACAATTATATTTTATATTTGTATATATATGTGCGTATGTATATATGTATGTACTATAAGTATATACAAGAAATATGTTTGCTTTCTATTGCCATTGGAGTCATGCTGCGTCGCTGTTTGGGAGTTACATGGTTGAGTCTACTTAAATGTCTAGTTGTTGTTGTTATTGTCATCTATAAGGCAGCTCAATTGTGCGCAACTTTGCCAACACAGAAATATTTCCCGGAAGCCGCTTAAATGCTTTGCTGCTGAGTTTTCTCTAGTCGCCATCTTTCATTGTTGCCTGTGACAACAAGACTTAACATATGTTTGTAAAAATACATGAATGTTATATAAAAATAATAATATATATATGTATTATTCTATATTATCAACTAAGTACGTGCACTTTCAATGCAACTGTGACGCCTTGTGCGGCAGGATCTTGAGCACTTACCGCTTTTTGTGGCAGCGTGTGTTGAAAAGCGTACTCCTGACGCGCCAATGCTTGCTGCTGTGGCTACAAAGGATGCAGGCGTTACAATTGCTAAGCTTTCTTTCTGACTTGCTTTAAATTTATATGTGAGTGTGTATGTGTTGCTTCGTTGGTATGTGTGTTTAAAACAGCTGCAAAGAAAAGAACAGCCGGAATTAATTTCAAGTGTGAAAAAATAAAAATAAAAAAACAATGAAAAAAACAAAAAATTCCAAATTAAGCACACTGTTAAAAACTTTTTTTTTCTTATTTAAATTTTTTTAAATGTTTTTATATTAAATAAAATGTTTGTTAAATAAAATGTTCTTAAAATTTATACTAAAAACAGTATGTAGTATTTTAAACATTTTTATTGACCTTGCCCTTAAAACAAAAACAAAAAATTTGAAATTAAGCACTAAATAACAAGTAAACGCTGAATCATATTCGGAATTAAAATTTTTTTACAATTTTTTTTTGAATTTTTTTATATTTTTGTATACATTTTTTATTTTAACTCTTTTATATATATATTTTTTAAATTTTTTTTTTGTAAAGTAAAAAATTTTTTTTTTTACTTCTCTCTTAAAATTTATACTAAAAAAATTGTGTTGTATATTACACATTTTTATTGAACTTGTCGCTGCGCTGTCAATGAGCGCCTTCAATTGCCCGTAAAAGTGTGCAAATTAGCCAGTAAACTGGTTTCATATTTTTCCGCCGCACTGTGCGCGCATATAAATTAGTGCAATTGCATTAAATTCTCGATGTTTTTACTTATATTAAACATTTTTTTTTCGCACTTTTTTCTTTTCCTCATTGCGGCAGATGAATGAACCCTGTTGCCAAATATTAAGTGCGTTTGTCATTTAAGCCGAAACCAAATAAAAAAAATCTAAATGGAATAAAAACCGGACGCCATAAAAGTTTGCTTAAACTCATCATTAGTACTTTCCGCTTGTTAGTTGCTCTTGTTGTTGTGCTGCTCCCAAATTCTTCATAAGAAAAAAGTGTCAAGCGCAGCTGCACTTCCCTTTCGCTAAGAGCCAAAGAAAGTAAGCAACCCGTTTGGTCAGTGTCAAAGTCAATGTTTCAATGTTGTTTGTTACGATTTGTTGGTGCTTCATTTTCTTAACCGTCTTTTGGCTTTGCGTGTGCGCAATTGTGAATTGCTTTTAAAATCATAAATAACCCATTTATTGCTGTCAATGCAAATGCACCTGATGATTATGACGGCGCGCCACAGCCCAGTGTGAATATTGGTCACACACTCAGGCACATACAAACAAACATCTTTGCATACAAAATACCAACAAGCATACGGGTAACAGGGCGTGGATTTCAGTCTTATGGGTTTAAAATGGAAAACAATTGTTTTATTTTTAAGTAATATTATTGTTTACTGATATGAAATTGCAACAAAAAAAAAAACAAAAACAATATAGAAATAAATAATTAAAAAAATATGTTTAAGAGAAAAACAAATTTTTTATCGTATTTTTTTTTATTTTTATTTATTTTTTGTTGAGAAAATTTAATTAATGTTTTTGTAAATTAAATATTTAACTTAATTTTACTAAACCAGCGTTAACTTAACCTTTAAAAAAATTATAAAAAGGCATATTGCAGCAATAAATAAAATAAATAAATCATAAACAATTGAATCAAAAACTAATAACAAAACAAGAATCAAAATAAAAATAATAAACAAAAATTAAAATAAAACTAAAAAATTTGAGAATGAAATATTTCTTTAAAAAAATATTTAGAAATGTTTTTTAGAACAAAATATTAAAAAACTTTAAAGATTTACATAGAATTTTTATAAAAAACAATTCTACAATAATTAATTTAAAAACATGTTTTCCAAAAGCGCATAAAATAAAAACGTGAAAAAACGTTCAATTTGCTTGCACCGAAGCTTGAATACTCTACACAAATAAAAAAGTTTCCATTTATGAACTTTATTTTGATCGTTCAGTTTGTATGGCAGCTATATGATGTACTTGTAGTCCGATCAGAAAAATGCCAAATTTAATGAAGTTATATTTTCAGTTGAAATAGTTTTCAATACAAGGACTTGAGTTTGATCGGTCAACTGTAGTAGTCCAATCTGAAAAATTTTCCAATATATTTTAGCGTTACTTTAGAAAATAGTCCATGCTAAATTTCGTGAATATATCTCGTCAAATGAAAAAGCTTTCATTTCAAGTACTTTATATCGACCGTTCAGTTTGTATGGCAGGTATATGCTATAGTAGTACAATCTGAACAATTTCTTCGGAAATTGCATCATAGCCCTGAACAATAATCCATACCAAATTTCTTGAAGATATCTCGTCAAATAGAAAAGCTATCCATAGAAGCACTTGATTCCGATCGTTCAGTTTGAATGGCAGTGGGCCGATATCGGCGGTTCCCACAAAAGCGCAGCTGCTTGGGGAGAAAAGGTGTTCACATTTTCAGATCGATATCTCAAAAACTGGGAGAAAAGACTAGACTGGGAGTATATACAGACAGACGGAGGAGGGATAGACGAACGTGGCTCAATCAACTATTTTCTGATCAGGTATTCAACGTTTCTTTCTGGATGTTAGAAACTTCGTAGCCAACTTAATATATCCTGTAAAGGGTTTATAAATATTTCAATATTAATCCAAATAATTTCATGCTTCAATTTACCAATTTCCTAAAGATCAAAAACTTTTGCAGTTACGCAACACGATAGCAACAACAAATCAAGAAAAATAATATGATTCAAATAAGAAAGAAGAATGAAATAAACAGACAGCTGATAACTTCGAGCAAGAAAGTAAATTCAACTCATAAAAGTACCGAGTAAAACTTATGCTTCCGTCTTGTCATGCAAAACTTCCGGATGTTGAACGGAATGTTGTGATACCATTAAAATAAGTTGCCTTACAACAAACAAAAAGGTGAAATGCAGATAACACCAGAGTGGGAAGACTTGGTCGGACAAAGAAAAACTTTTAACAGATTGACAAGTGATGTCTCAATTCGCAGCATATTTCTGCAAGAAAAAAAAAAGAGATGGGAGTGAGAGAGCAGCAAGAGAGTGTGTAATATGCAAGCATTCCATTAAATGCAGAGAAAACTTTTTCTGACCCCTCATGGGACTTGAGATGCACTTTGTGTAATGTGTCATTAATGTCAAGAAGTAATTGATTTATAAGCCGCTGGCATGGCCTAATGAGCGAGCAGGCTATGAATATTTCTATAAGAAATGGAGTGTTTGGATCTACGGTGATTTTATCCGGGAAAAACATACGCTGGAGACTTAAATTCGGAAATTCCAAGTTAGATTATTTTAGACGTATGAGTCTAGAAATACATGCTTTGGAAAACATAAATACAGTTTTGATATCACTGTGAGAGATACGGAAAGAAGGCAGGTTTACCTTAGCATGTAACTTCATACCGGCTTTATTTAGTATTTTGGCTTTGACAACTTATTCAGCTTAGGTTAAAGCCTTAAAAACTTTCTATTAAGTGGAACAGCAAAAGGATGTGGGAAAGGTATTAAATATACAGTAGGGTTGTTCGGAACAAAATTTTTTTTCTTTGCATAGCCAGCGGGTATAATTTGTAATGTTAAAAAAAAAATTTTTTCCCAAAAATTTTCTTTTTTTATAATCTAGAAATTTGACCCTCAGGCTATCCAAAAAAAAAAAATTATTCGCTCCACCCTAATATACACATATAACTGTTATTGTTTATTTCTGCTGCACTTACTGTTTACAGTTTGAGGTCGCCCGCTTGCAACTTAGCGATAATATAATATAAGTAGAATTGCAGCTAGAGAGAAGAAATTTTGTAAAACAAAAAAAATTATAAGAAATTATTGAAATGTATGCGTTACTTAATTATATTTCATTACAGTTCCCTTTGTATGATTAAATATTAACATATGTTGTTTCTTTCCTGATTGCTCGAGTTTGTCATGCGTGGTTCTTTAACTTTTTTTTAAATTGTTTCGAACCTTTTTTTCGCACTCGCTCGATCGTTCGACCACACAACATTTGCCTGACGACTCGATTTCTGCGTAAAGTTCAAAGATAAATGAACTGTAGCATTGCGCCTGCAGCTTAGCGACTCAGCTGAGCGTCTGTCTCACTCCCCGGCGAACGCTGCTGCGAGACGCTGAACGGTTGTTGGCGCGTGGTTAAGTGCTGCACGAGAAAACCTGCCTATAAGCGCTGTGGTTTTGGTGACAAATACACTCGTAATTTCACTCTAATCAATTTCCCCTTAATTCAATTTTGATTTCATTTATTTGCAATATTTTGTGCTGTTTGGTTTCTGCTTTATTTTTAATGTAAAGGTCATCCGAGGTCTTACAGGTGGCTGGGGTGAAAAGTACCGCACGGAAATTGAAATCGATTAAATGCGAGCAGGTGTTGAACAGTTTTTGTACATATATATATGATCGTATGCTGTATATCTACGATACCTTTAATCTTAAAATCTTAAATATCCGGTTACTCAACATTAGATACTTTGGCACTTTGTTTAATACCCCGATTTTCAATTTTTTTTTATGAATTTCAAATCTTTTCAAACCTTTCTTTTATAACAAAAATTACATATTTTTACTATACTTATTATAGTTAATAAGATATCCATCTGAAATTATGTACATGATCATTTTTCTCCAAGAAGCTGCTCATTTGTCGGAACCGCCAATATCGGATCACTATAGCATATAGCTGTCATACGATCTGAATGATCGGAATCAAGGCTTGTATTCAAAAATATTTCTTTTTGTATACAGCACCTTTGAATATCTACTTGAAATATTTTTGCTACTGCGCCTGGATATAGACATTTATTGTTTAACATTTAGATATGCCGGAAATTTTCGAATATCAATACTAAGCGCCGAAATGTAGGCAATAGTTTAATATCTTTAGAATTCTTGAATTTGTTAGGTTTTTATAAGGTTTTTCAAAATTATTGGAAAAATATTATAAACATTATAGAAAAATTTAGAGATTAAATCTTGTATTTACTTAATATAAATATATAAAAAGACATGTTCCAAGTTTATAAAAAAAAGTCAACATGAATTAACACACTCTCAAACAAAGCGCCAAAATATAAGCAATATAATATATATAGACAACACCAAAAT